CTTTGTTACCTTTCCATATATTACAAATTCCTTCCTATTAACTCCATTCTGTTTATTCCCTTTTGCTGATCTTGCATTGCAAACTCTTAACCCTATTTACTTTCTCTTACCCCTCAGTCCCTTCTTCCAGCAGAAAGCTACTTTGTAGTTTTTGTAAGTAATCCAAGTTCATCCTCCACTTGTGTAAGTACTTTATTTTAAACTACATGGAACTTCAGGAAAGAATTTCCCTAGAGGAATAATGGGCAATATCCAGCTCCTCTATGTTACACCTCTTAAGGTTTTATTTCTGACCCAATCAAACCTTAAACAAATACTCTGCTGCTTCTTGTTTGAAGCAGTAATGTTTAATATTCAAGACAAAGTTCATAACACAGACATGGGACTAGATTTTTGTGGATGAAAGATAACATATAACTTCATTTTATTTTACATATTGTACATTATGGGCTTTTTTCCCTTTTACAATCCAAGACTGTATAACCCTATTTCAGCATTTACCATCTTTTTGAGTGTTTATATTTAACAGGGGTTTAGTGTTTTTGAAGAACTCCAATGTTTAGGTGAACCAAAGCACAAGTGTGAAGGTTGGGGCGCAGGGGGGTGAATAAGAGCTCATCCCTCCAACAGTTTTGGCCATTTTTTTTTAATATGGCACAAACATGAACTACAGTCCCCACTCACATTGCCAGTAAGGTTGAGATCATTTGTGTTCAATTACACTAGTAATTCACAGCAACAAACTGCTATACCTTAGTAACAGCAGCTGTTAAAAGGGAAACATTTGTGTTTGCACACAACCAGACAGTACTTGTGTTACAGCACAAAACATCATTTAGGAAAACAGTGAAGATTAGTTCAAAGTTTTATTTCAATACATGTTATTGCTGGGGGCGGGGAGGGAATCCATTCCACAAATCAGTCTTTTCAGACCTTGCTCAGTGACAAAGTCTTGGGCATTAAACTTTTTTCTTGATTTTAACTGACAGTGGGCAAAGTACAACGAATACTGACCTGACTTCTACTGGTTTTCCTCCATTCTTACACTCTACAAATCTTTCTCAAATACTCAATAGTGGAGAAAATAGAACCACTGGTCTTTAAAACAGATTTTATGAGTCATTTCCCTAAATGGAAGCAACATTTTCAACTGTCAAGACACTGATCATCAATGCTGGAGTCACTTCTGTTTGTAGGAATAGCTCATGATGGATTAAAGTCATGATTGGTTTTTCCTGTATCATATACCCAGGATAGTGTACTTCCTCAAACATGACAACTTGTTGTGATTCTAAAAAACCCAAACACTGCAACTGAAGTCATAATTGCCTTTACATATAACAACTTTCCTCCTCACAAGAAGAAATGAAGCTCTTATGATGAATCAGACTTTTTGAGAACAACTCAAACAGTCTATTTTTCTTTCCATGCTTTACTCCAAGGAAGTAACATGGAACACTAACAAGTTATTAAAAGCAAGCAGTTCTATTTCTTTCTATCTTGGAGAATTTTAGAAAGTGATGGTTAAAATATATTGTGAACTGAAGTGATGCCACCTCTCAGTTCTGCAAAACTGATGAGTGATGTAATAGCTCTTACAGAAGAACATCTGTGACTAATCCAGTTCTCAGTAATTAAGTGATCTTTGACCTACTAAGGTAGGTTAGCATAACATACACAGCTTAATTATTCATTCATTACTCCTTGATATGAGCTGTGCTGGACCTTGCCCCTATTGTCTGGCAGCAGAAAAGTAGGTGAAAGTTGCCTCCACGTTACTTCCTGCTATCACTTCTATAACTGATTATCCTGTATCAAAATTAACACACACAATATGAAAAGTCTGTGTAAGATAACTTTTTTGTTACACATTCAAACACATTTGATTTGCTAAAAACTGGTATGTTATTTTACCTTTCAACTTTGGTCAGCAGTGACACTGAAGTATTGCTGACATTCCAGCAAAACTTAAAAAAAAGCACACAAATCAGAAAACAGTTATTCCAGGAAAACATTCTCTAATAACATATCTTATTTTGAACATAAAGTACGCATACTCTTAAATAAACTATGTGAGGAAGGAATGTAAAGTTTGCAGGTAAAGTTTACAGTTGCACTAGAACACTTCCATGGTTCACTTGAATGTTAAGGCCAGTGTTTTGCTGTTTATATTCAAGTCAGCAAATTCACCTTTGCCCTAGGGAAGCTCAAAACTAGAATTTCACCTCCCAGAATTCAAGAAGCTGAGATTCATCTCACACTAATATGACACGATTTTTTCAGGCATTATATACAAAGGAATTAATACATATAAAACTAAATCACTACTGCTCCACACATACTTTACTCAGTTAACCTCAAGCAACAGATACACTATTAATCCTCTTCTGGGTTATCTAGGTTGCCAAGTGAACAGCTTCTCTCTAGTAATAAGTAAACAAATTTAGGACAGTCATAGCCTCTCAACTTCTTCCCAAGCAGGCAGAGAAAAATTCACCATAGAAATTAGAGGGGACACTAGGCCCTGGAGATTTTTATCATTACTGCACAAAGATTTACCACTTGTTATTATATGTCAGCTTCATGTATCAGCACAAGTATGCTGGAATATGTAAAGATTTGGCACAATGACAATCCTTTCCAAAAGTATGCTATAATTTACATTAGCAATGAAGCATTAAGAAATGAATGATACATGAACTAATAAGATTAAAGGAGGATGAAGCGATTGTAATAACTGGATGCTTTTGACTAGGCTAGTGGTATAGGCAATGTAGCTTACCTATTGCTAATCTTGATAGGTAGCGTTCTGTAAGGCTTCTGAGAAGGTCTGCCTCACAGGGAAACACAGACAAAAGAACGAAGACTAGCAGGAAAAAACCATCCTCAAAAATAAGTATTCAAGCAGTAGCACAGCTATTACCGAAACAACTGAACGTTGGGATGTTGGAGTTTGGAATCTATGGACATAATACCATACCAGTAGTAATTAAGACCTAACCTAAGCTGTGGAGGGACTCAAAAGCATAAAGCAACACACAGGTGCAAGCAGAACAATCAAGTTTGCAAGCATGATACTTATTTTAGCAACTGCATTTCTAATAGATGTGAGAATACAAAAGGCCATGAGAGAAAATGACAGAAGTAAAGGAAGAGGTATCAGAAAGACTGTAGCACAGACAGAGGAAAAGGGACAGGTCAGGTCAGGCTCTCAAAACTCCATCCAACTGTTGAACTAGCTGGAACATAATTCATAAGTTATCTCCACTTTCCAATCCTCACTAATCTTGTAGTAGTGTTTGGTCCACCAAATACATATGAATGCTTCACATTTTTAACGCTATACCTAGCAAAATCAAAGATTCATACCGGAAGGACACATTCCAACCATTGTCTTCAACGTTAAGGCCAACCCTCACTTTCATTATATTGACTCTCAAGCTAATAAATGCACTGCCATTGTCAAGTCCTGCAGATCAACATCAGGAGATCTGCAAGCAAAATAGTTTATGGGGACAAACCGGGACCCACATTATATTTATTTCAGGGATAGGTAGATTATTCTGCCCGAGATCTAGCCTGCTCCTGTCAACTGAATGCTACATGTAGTGGGAATATACTAAATGCACTTCAAAACTATGCTGGACTTGCATCTACATTTGAAGATGTATTCCAATCTGAATGTAATCTAGTTCGTGTGCTCCAAGGTCACTCCTTAATAAAGGCAGAGCAAGGTAAACATGGACAATGGGGAGAGTCACTTTAATGGAATACTCTTGATCCGAATTAAAATGCAGATGCTCCCAGAACATCTGCATGGCCTATTCTTTCTTACAAACACCATTATCATATATTAAGCGTAAAAATCTTGCACTACAGTGTCAGTAACTCTCACAACTCACCTTTTTTATGCCCTTCTATATAGCTTTTCTCCTTTTTTACAGTGGTATTTCACCAAATTAAACAGAGCTACCAAAAAAAATATCATCCCTTCCTACAAGTTTGATAGAAGCGTAACTCTCTGCAACAGTTTGGGATCTTGTTGCTTTCTCTCACACAAACTATGTACAGTAGCAAATGCATGAACTCTCAGCAGCATATCAATTTCTGACATGTTATATGAGAGTTACCTGACTTCATGAAGCTCTTAAAGATATCATGTGTATGGAAGGAATTAAGTAAAAAAAAAACTGGATTGTTGCTTAATGGCAGGTATGTTATTGCTTAAGTCTGTTGAGTAAGTCCATTTACCGTCAAGATCTAGCACCAGGATATGTCTGCAGCTACTACACAGTATCTAACTGTACTACTGTAACATACTGGGTCTTTAGCATGTGGTCAGCAATTTACAGCCACAAATACGTTAAAATCGCGGAAAGATTGAGTCTGAGGCATAGTCTTCATCTGCCACACTTTATGGTACCCAAGTGCTTCAGAGGAGATTTAACAAATACCCACCCTAGCACACGTATGCCTGTAAGCCATCCTCAAAAGCAACAACCAGACACCACCTCTTTGGAATGGTTACCCGTGAACCTTACTGACACACGGCAGCACTAAAACAACAGCTGGGGCCCATTACTTGCCGATGCACACAGGGCATCCTAGGACATCCCCAGAAGTCAACTACTTGCTAGTGGTAGCTCACAGTCGGGAAAACGGAGAAAACGAATGTAATTTGAGTAATAAGGTGGCGGTGGCTGGATACTCGCAGGGGCGGCCATCGGCGGCCCCTCAGGCAGGCGGGAGGGGGAGGCTGCCTGACCCCTCTTCGCAAGAGCCGTCGCCCCGGGACGAGGGAGCCGACAGCAGCGTCCCGCAACAGCAGGGACGCGGGCTGCCCCTCCGTCAGGCCGAGAGCCGGTGAAGGCGACCACAGCCCCGGCACAGCTCGGCTCGGCTAGCCCTGGCTTGCCCCGGTCTCCCAGCGCTCGCACCGCGACTGGACCCCGGCGCCCCTCCCAGCTCCGCGCAGCCCAGGCCCGGCCCTCCCCGCTCACCCCTGCTGGGCTGCCGCCCGCCGCTTGTTCAGCAGGCAGAGGAGGGCGCAGGCGACGGCGGCCCCGGCGATGGCGGAGTGGCGCACGGTGAGGTACTTGCTGTAGGCGGCCATGGCGCGAGTACGGCCGCCGAGCCCAGCCGAGCCGAGCCGAGCCGAGCCGAGCGGGCGCGGGGAATGCTGGGAGGGGGGCGGGGCCCGCCCGGCCTCTCCACTGCCACGGGAGCGGAGCGCGCGCGGGTTGGGCAACGGCGGCGGCGGCGGCAATTTGCGCGCCTTGCCCCGCGCCCGGGGGCGCGCCCCCGCGGCGGGCCAAAGGAACGGAAGGGAACGGAAAGGAAAAAGGGGCGTTTCGTCCTGCGCCAGTGCGGCCAGGCCTGCCGCCGGGCCGGCGCCTCGGTTTTCTGAAGCGTCCTCGGCTCGGTTCCTCCTATCGCGTGAGGCTGGGGCCGCTCGCCTTCACGGGGGCCTTTGTGCAGGTGTGCAGCGTGTGAATTGTGAATGCCATGCACATAGGGAGACGATACGGAGTAAACCTTCAACAGAGACTTTGATGTAAGTTTTGCCATGCTGTCTGGTTTTTTTTAGGGCCGGGAGAGGAGCTGCCAAGATTGACTTGCAGAGGGTGGAATGAGGTATCACCAGTGTAAGTGCAGGAAAACAGTCTCTATCACAGACAGAGCCACACCAGGTTGACTTGGAGATACCAACCAGGCTTCTACAAAACCAGTTATACTTGCACAGGTGCTTTTTCCAGCAGACTTAATAATAGTTTGCCAAGTCATAGAATATGATTCTAGGTTGGAAGGGAGCTTAGGGACCTTTCTTAGCAAAAGCACAGTCTTGACAATATGGCCCCACTCCCTGTCCAGCTGAATCTTAAAAGTCTACAGTGTTGGGGAATCCACCACTTCCCTGAGGAGATTATTCCAGCAGCTGATTGTTCTCATTGTGAAAAATTTTCCTCAAGATACACCAGTTGAGATATACTAGCAAAAACACTCATGCCAGCATAACTGTATTTACACTGGATCTTCCCCTATGGTCATATCCCTCAGAAAGACACCTAATGGTGTATATGAAGTGGCTGTACAGGAACTGGTCAGTTATATATATGAAGTCTGTATTGGTCCAATGTTTAACACTATGATGACAAAACAGTTTCTCTGATCAAACTTAAATGCAGGCCAAAATGCAGCTGGAATCAATGTATCTATTTTTAGTCTTAAAAAGGTTTTCATAGAGGCTTTTAAAAATATTTTAATACCTTTGGCTGATGTGCTTTTGTTATTATAGTATAAAAGTGTGTGCATATGTCAGTCCATTTGTCGAATATTCCTGTTTCTTTCAAATATGTCTGCCTGGAGTAGCAGGGCTGAATCTGCAGTTTGATGAAAAGTAATCTCTCTTTCTTCATTGTGAATCACCACACATACTTTTCTTTCTTGCTCCTTCTCCCTGTCATTGGTATCAGGCATTTTGGGACAAGTTTATGTTTTGACGTAAAAGCTGGAGTCTGAAAACATCAAATTGTTCACATTTTGTAGAGTAATAGAGTCAGGACTACCGAATCTAGTTCTCTGGCACTTGTTCTGTGACCTTGGACAAATCAGTGATCTCCCTGCTTGAAAATATCTGCTGAATGTTGGTGTTTGGGGAAAAAAAATAATAAACTCTTGAAAGTATTTCTGATCCTCATGAAAATATACAGCAGAATCACATAGCATTAATTAATTCATCTTGTTCTACGCAATGAATGTTTGTAAAAATAACTTTTTTTTAAATCTTACTTTAGCAGTAGGTAAATGTGAGAAACTAAGAAGAGGTAGTTTCTTCGTCAAAGTAAACATATTCAAATCATTACAAAAATGAAAATTTCTACAATTTTTCAGGTTTACTGAATCTTTAGAGTTTTGCTGCTACTTTTAATCTCAATATCTGTGCAGAGATCGAGTGCTACGATATTGCTACACATTTCTTTACAAGGCGTCTTCCCTTCTTAAACTTAAGTTGGTTGTACCCTTCCACAGAACTAGCTATCTAATATAGCCTAACTTTGTTTACATACAATGTCCATCAGTTTTGGCCATGCTGACCTTTGTTGTTTGCCCGACTGTATGACTTGCCTCCTGCAATGTTTGTCTTCTGCAGTGTCCTTACCCCACTTTTTGAAGTTGGCCAGTACCACATCCTATTACGTATTTTATTTCTCTTCTAACTTTTCTTAAATAATTTCACATACACCTATCATCCTCTGAGAAACTTGCCTCATGCATCCAGTCCTCCACTGTTTCTTCTATTGCCTCCACTTTTGAACGCTGCTTTTTTTTCAGAATAATTTTGTTAGCATTATTGATAAATGGGCACTTAGTTCAAAACATGAAGTTTTTATTGATCCATTATTTCATCAGTTCCAACAACAATCATGGCTAAGCATATCCTTGATAAAATCACCCACACTGATAAAATGCTTTTGTGACAAAAGCTCTTTCTTTGTTCTGCAATTTGAGATCTGCAGCATTTCAATACTTTATACGTTGCAGCCGTTTTGTTTTCTTGGTAGTCTTGGTACAAGTCAACTGTGAGAGTTTTCCAAGGTAGCAAATAGCAGTAATATTAATTCAAATGTAAAACCTAGAGGGGGAAAGGTAGCTTGGAAGAAAACAGAGTACCACGCCTATCACCTGTATTAATAATAGTCTGTGTAGTTTCTCTGAAGGAGCAAGATCAAACTGACAGCTGTGCTTTTAACACGGCCCATGGTATGGCTCAAACTTCTTAATAGCTATGTAAGACCATCCACAGAAAGCAAGCTATTTAAACTAGAAAGTGCACTCTGAAAGACTGAAGCCTGTAGGAAGAAAAACCTGTATTTACTATTAAAGACCTAAAGCCCTATAATGAACATCAGGAGACCTCATAACACCATTGGTAGGTAGGCTATGGCCCCATGTCTGAAGTGTTAAGCAGTAGTATCTGCCTAAGCAATTCTTCAATTTCACAATTAAAAAATAAAAAAAACAACGCACAATCTACTTAATAAAAAGCAGTAATATAATTGCTAAACAGTTCAGATTGTCACATAATGTCCTCAGTCAATCTTGATTTTATCCAGTTGAGTTTTAAGGAGTGAGTCAAAGTCAGGAATATAAGAAATTGTTATGGAGTGAATATTTTGTCCCACTAATAGCTATATGAATACTTTTTTTTTTTTTTTTTTTTAAAATGGAGTCTAGGTTAACAAATAAGAAGAGGCTCTGATTTGCTTTCTCTCAGAACAGGAAGAACCTGTATTATTTGCTGTTGGCACTTGGCATACAACGCCCAACTATATTCTGAGAACAACATATCATCTAATAATTAAATAAAGAGTCATGTTGTTTATTGTAGGTCCAATGTGACATATATTAATATCATGGAGAGCAATTTACAAATGTTGTGAAAGGTAGTGAAAGAAAGATTAATTTATGTAAATTAAGGTGTAACATGCAAACTGTACCATCTATGTTAGTTAAATTCAAAGGTAATTTGTATAATGCTGGTCTCCATTCTGTATATTTGCACTTGCTTAATTTTGAAGTCCATATAAATTCAGCAAGATTGTTCACTTGTTTAATGTTAAGTACCATGATATTTGAAAACTTAACAACTAGTGGAGCAAAGACAGTTCCAGGGGTTGATGTCGTCTCTTGTGAAATCTGTGTTATCTCAAGTATATCTCTTAGTTGTAGAATTTGGCATGGTTTGCAGGGAAATTAATGAACTGCTCAGTTAATGCAGTCATCAGTGTTAAGTGATAAGGTTTTGTCACTCTACTGAAGCACTATACTAGAGTATTAGTTTGTTGCTTATTTTTTAACAGAAGGAAATTACACATCTGAAGTTGAACTACATTTAATTGTGTATCAGTTCATATATGTGTGTATATGACTGTTCCCAATGACAGCCTCATCAATACAGCTAGTATCAACCAAATGGAATTGTTATATGTTTAGTCACTTCATGTAACTTGAAACTCCAGAGTGGGTGAAGTGGTGTGAATATGGTATCAGCCACTCAAAACCCGTAAAGCTTGACCTCCCCCAAACAAATGCTGATTATAACATGGGTTTGTTCTTCAGAGTGTGGCCTACAGGGTGAAATTGAAATGGACATCAGTTTTCTTTGATCTGCAGAACAGAGAAAGATGACATGCTTCCATTTCTTTGTACCTGCTGTTTTCTCTTCTGGTTCTTCCCCTTTTCTTACCCACCTCCTGTATGCCCCTGAGATGACCAGGATGTTACAGGAACTTAAGATGTGAGAAGGTAGTCTTTCTGAGCAGAAAGTAAAATTTCAGAATAATGTGGAGAGAAGATAAGGGGTATATAGAAAAAAAAAATGCTTAGAGATCTTAGGATGTGCAGAGCATTGGCTTTTAAATATATTGATGCTTAGACTTTTTGTGCCATTACTGCCTTACTTCCCACTGTATGGGCATAAGAGTACATGTGTTCATCTTTTTTAATTGATGCCATAAACCACAAGAGTTTAATTGCTACACACAAGTCTGCTTTCTGCATTTCCTTCATTTCTGACCATATTTTTTGCTCTAAATGCCTGTTTGTTTTTTTTTTTTAACATGACCGTGATACCTCATACCTTTCCAAAAGATAAGACGACAGATCATTTTTTACAAGGACATCTCTAAAAGTTCGGGTGAAAATGCAAAGGTACATAAGAATTACAATTATTATAGCAGACTCAGAAATTACCTAGTCTCGTCTGTACATGAATAGTATCAGATAATCTAAGAGACAGTATAGACTCCACACATCTGCTTTCATAGTGAATCTTACTCTATTTCAAACATTTACACACTGACTTAGTTCTGAAGTATGGTGTTTGACATCCATTCTGATCTTTCTTGTCATTAATTACTTTAATTACTCAAATTCTGCTGGTCCAGAAAATGCACCTGGTATTTCAGATAAGAGCAGAGCACTGATTTGTACTAAGATTTCCATTTTATTTTACTTACTGTTTTCATTTGCTTTCCTGTAAGTTGGTTTCTTGTTTTGACTGTTTTACAGAAAGATGTCTTTGACTGAGCTGTCCATATTAGTCTTAGAATGTTGACATTCCTTTTGCAAGTCAATATCATTGGACAGTCTATGTGAAATAAATACAAAATTAGATTTTTTCCTCCAAAATGCAGTACTCTGCATTTCCTAACAGTCAGTGTCAGTTAGCATTTTGTGCTTCACTTGCCTACCTTGTTTGGACTGGGTGAGTGGGTAGAAAAATGGTAACTGAAACTAAATGTTCCTGTTTAACTAGTTCATTTTTTTCAGGAAGTGAATCACAACTCAGTTTGATCTTGACACCTTTTGGTGATCTGAAAGCCAAGGTATTTCACTGCTCAACATTTATTTATAGCTTATCTCAAATATTGTATTGGTTTGTGTTTCATTAGATACATAAAATAGAAGAACAGAAGTCACAGATGTTGACTTTCTATCATACTTAGAATAATGCTTTGATAAAAAAACTGTTCCTTTTTTCATCAAAAAGTG